AAAAATAACAAAAATGCGCTGGAGAACGTACTGAAAAGGAAGAAAAATTCGATCCCATTTATCAGAAAACTTTCTTACTAGGATCAACTGAGAGCACTGAATCTAATAGTGTAGAGTTGGAGGGGATATGACTGAGGTGAATATGTGAAAAATAGGAATAAATAAAGGCGATGTAAATAACGTGCGAAAAATTTCTCTCCGAGACAGGACTGGCAGCAGTGGCTACAAGATGGAAACATTTTGATTTAGAAATAATATAGGAAAGTATTGGTTTGGTAATGGAGTTGTGGATGAGTGGAACAAATTCCCAAGTAGCGTCATTGTAGCTTGAAACCTTGTTTAGCTTTAAAAATAGGTTAGAAAAGTACATGAGTGGGTGAGGGTGTGAGTTAGACCCAGCTAACTTGGTCCCGTGGGCCTACAGCAGTGCTCCTTCCTTCATAAGTGAGTGTGACTTGGACCTGCCTAGCATGTGCCAGTAGAAGATAAGAGCATAAGAAAGGAATAGCACTTCAGTAGGTCTACTGGCTCAGTAAAGGAACCTCCTTCACAAACCCAATCCCACTAACAAAAATATTTCCACTATCCATTTTAAATGCTACCCAAGAAATAAGCTTTGATAACTCATAAATAGTTTTAAGAAAAGGTACGATGAACCTCTTGGAGCAGGGAGAGAGTGGACCTGTGGTGGACCCTCTGCAGCCAAAAATAGGTGAGTACAAATAAGTTACCTGGATTATCTGGAGGGTATTCCAGGGATCAACGCCCCTGCGACCCTGTCCATGACCGGGCCTCCCAGTGAATCAGGGCCTGATCACCGAGGCTATTACTGCTGGCCGCACATAGTCCAACGTACGAGCCACAGCCCGGTTGATCAGGCACTGGCTTTAGGTATCCGTCCAGCTCCCTCTTGAAGATAACCAGGTGTACATTGGTAATCCCATTATGACTGGTGGGAGGTTGTTGAACAATCTTGGGCCCCGGACATTTATTGTGTTTTCTCTTAGTGGACTAACGGAGCCCCTACTTTTCAGTGGAGGAACGTTGCATCGCCTTCCATGCCTTTTGCTTTCGTAGGAAGTGATTTCTGTGTGCAGATTAGGGATCAGTCCCTCTAGGATTTTCCAGTGAGAACAGGTCAAATGCTTCCAAGCATTCCCAGTAGTTAAGGTGCAGTTAAAGGTTCTCTGTGCATTCTCTAGATCTGCAGTTTTACATGCCTTGAATGGAGATGTTAATGTACAGCAGTATTCTAGCGTAGAGAGAACAAGTGAATTAAAAAGGATCGTCATTGGCTTGGTATCTCTTGTTTTGAATGTTCTCATTATCACTGTCCTCGCGGATGTACTAATGACATTGTTGTGACCCTTGTTTTTGGCATTTGAAAATAAATATTTCGAACTTCTTTCAGTTTCACCAATCGCTTTTAGCTCCTCCTGTCTCTCCTGGATCCTGTTCGAGTCCTTCAACTTTAGCTCAGCATTTTCCCTTTCCCAGGTAAGCGCTTCCTTCCGTGTTTCAGATACTCTAGCATTCTTGAGGCGCTCAGTGATTCTTTGCATTTTCTCTCTCTCTCTCTCTCTCTCTCTCTCTCTCTCTCTCTCTCTCTCTCTCTCCTGTTTACTTCTCTTCTTTTTGTCGTAGAGGAATATGCCCTGAACATACTTCAGCTGCAAGGCACAGGTTAGGGTCCATGTTATTTAAGATATCTTCCCAACAAGTTTCATTTAGAACATGGCTTACGTGGTACCAGTTGTTGATGTTGTTGTTGTTAAAGTTGAATTTGGTGAAGGTACCCTCATAGCTGTATGCATTTTGCCAGCCAGGTCTCCTGTGTATGTATGTCTGCACAACCAACACGAAACGCGACCTCATTTATATTTCCTAATATACAGGGCCTTAAGGCATCCACCAACAACAAAATACCTTTCATCGGTGGACTTTAGGTCTTCCATTTTGTATGACTTAGATTGAAATCACCAAGCAGCAAGATGTTTGGAGATGGGGCTGGAAGGTTTTCCAGATAGTATACAATTTCCAATAGCTGTTCCTTAAACTGTTGGGAAGCTGCAGCTGGTGGCTTATATACAAGCACAATTATTAAGTTTGGGTTCTCGATCTTTATTGCTAGAACTTCAACTACATCATTTGTGGTGTTTAGAATTTCTGTGCAAATTGTCGACTCTTTGATATACAGGGCAACCTTTGTTGCCTGTTCTTTCTCTCTCATTTCAAAAGGTTGTACCCACTTATCCATATTTCACTGTCAAAGTGATCTTTTTCATGGATCTCTGTGAAAGCTACAAATATTGCATTTAACTCCCTTTGAAGTCCACCGATGAAAGGTATTTTATTGTTGGTGGATGCCTTAAGGCCCTGTATATTAGGAAATATAAATGAGGTCGTGTTTCGTGTTGGTTGTGAGGAATGTGTTGTTGGCGACAGTAATTGTAATTATGGAGGGATAATGGGGGGAGGGGGGAGGGGGGGAGGGGGGGAGGGGGGGGGGAAAATGGTGGTGCCTCGAGTCCAGCAAGGCTCCAAGGTGGTGACCTATATTTCTTATTTCTTTCTATTTTCTTTCTTCGTTTCTTGCCACTAAAAATTCACTTGGAGCGAACTTGTCATAACTGTTTTTTTTTATGGAGAGTGTACCTCCTGGTTCCTTTTAAGTGGTAAGCAGGGCAGCTGGTGTTGCAACATTGATTTTTGAGGATTGAAGAGTGGCATATCTCAGGGTGGAAGAATTTGAAAGAGGCAGAACGACACATTCCTTTAGACAAGAGGTCGCAGCATTTCTTTGGATGCTTAGAGTTGTATGTCCCATTTGATTTCCTGATATTCCATACTTACAGATATTCCATGCATAAAATTTGCACCATTTTGCTTTTGGTTGGATAAAATATGTGGTGGACGTATCCCTAAGTTGTGCAGATCCTAGAACTGCACAACAGTCTTCGGTAGCCAAGCCAGAGACACTGAGACACTGCCTTGTGTTTTCACAAGGCCAACATTTTCCCCGGAAGAAGACTCCTCTTCTACTACATCTGCAATTGGGTCTCTGATTGTGGTGGCTGTGGTAGTTTATAGCCGAATCCGGATCAGCACTAAGGCTGGGGGCTAAGTCTGGATCAGTCCTAGGACTAGGGGCTGACCTAGCTGATGTTTATGTTTCCTGTATTTTTTCCAGTGGGTGTCTATTATTGGGTCAACTGTTGTAATCTGGGCAGCATTCTGATTGTTAAACTTTGCTTCTTTTCCATTCTCCCATGTACCGTATGTATTTTGGGTAGACTATCCAAGAGTTCCTCATTGTTTTTATGCTTATTATTTATTAACCTCCTGAGTACTTTCCCAATACCTGTCCAAAATTCAATATCCTTATTGCAAATCCAGAAACACCTTGCTAGTTGGATGTCGTTTATGGGTGCAGTGTTTCTTATTGCACAAGAGACATGATGTTTAAAAAAACAAAGGTTGCATTTGATTCTGAATTTTCCCCCAAGGACCTTTAAACATGTCCCACAGGTACACCATACTGCCATCTTGCCTGTATCCTACTGCAATCAGGGTGCCACGAAAACCTGATATCCACATTACCTTTCTGCTCTGCATTCAAGTGGTGGGGTGATAGAGGGTCAGTACATGTGTATGTAGGATGTATTTAATACGGAGACTTTCTATCCATCAAAAACATTTATGGTGTACAGCATCACACTCACCTTTCCTGTTCAGGTACATTTCCCAATTTCCACACACACAGAAAGTAAAGTGCATGTTTTCTTTCTAAGATTGAGTTATTGTTGTGTGGGGTATATGGTGTTATACGGTGGTTTGTGGTATGACTGTGGCACTGCTGCCAGATGTATGGCCGTAACAGACTACCCAGGGTACGTGGCACTTCTCGCATGCGATGCCACATTTTAGCTTAAAAACACTTCCATTATGTTTAATCACTATCCTCGAGTCGTTTCACTGACACTAGATTCACTAGTCTTTCCACTATGAATCGGTATCCTAGTCATTTCAATATATGTGATAACTCAAATTATTGTGGGTACATTGAAACACCTGTCAACACCAGGAAGAGGAAATTGTCTGATACTGCCACACTTCACTATTTCTTTTTCATGGTATTTTAACACTAGTATTTTATCACCCTCCTGTACATTGGTTATCACAAAGGATATACACTACATTTATTCAAGAAACAGTTTTCTTTTCACTGCATTATACTGGAATCTTTGTTTTATCACTCACACAGCAGCTAGGCCTACGCTACTTTTCCCATACACTTACAATTAAATTTGTTTCATGTGAATTCTCATTGTTGGTATTTTTTTTTCCTAGTTAGGTTACTCCCTTCACTACGGTTACTCTTCATGGTAGTCCAGGATTCTCTACTCGTCAGTAATACAATTTACTGCTTCCCTCTAATGGCAACACTTCTTGTTTCCCAACAACACTGGGCTTAGTCTGGGTCCCTGTCACTCAATATTTTGTTGAATTTCCACTTCAAGAATAAAAGCTCACACGCACACACACATGCACACACACACACACATGCACACACACACACAGGAGGGTCAGGGGAGACATGATAACGACATATAAAATACTGCGTGGAATAGACAAGGTGGACAAAGACAGGATGTTCCAGGGAGGGGACACAGAAACAAGAGGCCACAATTGGAAGTTGAAGACACAAATGAGTCAGAGAGATAGTAGGAAGTATTTCTTCAGTCATAGAGTTGTAAGGCAGTGGAATAGCCTAGAAAATGACGTAGTGGAGGCAGGAACCATACACAGTTTTAAGACGAGGTTTGATAAAGCTCATGGAGCGGGGAGAGAGAGGGCCTAGTAGCAACCGGTGAAGAGGCGGGGCCAGGAGCTAGGACTCGACCCCTGCAACCACAAATAGGTTAGTACAAATAGGTGAGTACACATGCACACGCACACACACATGCACACGCACACATAAAAAGACTGACATATATTACCTCAATGAATCTCAGTAAATCTGTCATGTATCCTTCAGTCTCACGGATGATTTTTAAATTTGGAAAGATCTTCTTAATCCAACGAATTCTGAAAGAGCATTAGAAAAGAATCATTAATATGGTAAAAAAAAGACTATATATATATATTATATATATTATATATATATATATATATATATATATATTTTATATATATATATATATATATATATATATATATATATATATATATATATATATATATATATATATATATATATATATATATATATATGAAGAAGAAAATTGTCAAAGTGGGAAGTCTGAATGTGCGTGGATGTTGTGCAAATGATAAGAAAGAGATGATTGTGGATGTTATGAATGAGAGGAAACTGGATGTCCTGGCTTTAAGTGAAACAAAGCTGAAGGGGGTGGAAGAGTTTCGATGGAGAGGAATAAATGGGATTAGGTCAGGGGTTTCAAATAGAGTTAGAGCTAAAGAAGGAGTAGCAATAATGTTGAAGGATAAGCTATGGCAGGAAAAGGGACTACAAATGTATAATTCAAGGATTATGTGGAGTAAAATAAAGATTGGATGTGAAAAGTGGGTTATAGTAAGCGTGTATGCACCTGGAGAAGAGAGAAGTGTAGAGGAGAGAGAGAGAGATTCTGGGAAATGTTGAGTGAATGCGTGGGGAGTTTTGAATCAAGTGTGAGAGTAATGGTGGTTGGGATTTCAATGCTAAAGTGGGTAAAAATGTTATGGAGGGAGTAGTAGGTAAATTTGGGGTGCCAGGGGTAAATGTAAATGGGGAGCCTTTAATTGAGCTATGTGTAGAAAGAAATTTGGTAATAAGTAATACATATTTTATGAAAAAGAGGATAAATAAATATACAAGGTATGATGTAGCATGTAATGAAAGTAGTTTGTTAGATTATGTATTGGTGGATAAAGGTTGATGGGTAGGCTCCAGGATGTACATGTTTATAGAGGGGCAATGATAAATCAGATCATTATTTAGTTGTAGCTACAGTTGGAGTAAGAGGTAGATGGGAAAAGAGGAAGGTGGCAACAACAAGTAAGAGGGAGGTGAAGTGTATAAACTAAGGGAGGAGGAAGTTCGGGCGAGATATAAGCGACTATTGGCAGAAAGGTGGGCTTTGTGCAAAGATGAGTAGTGGGGGGGGGGGTTGAAGAGGGTTGGAATAGTTTTAAAAATGCAGTATTAGAATGAGGGGCAGAAGTTTGTGGTTATAGGAGGGTGGGGGCAGGAGGAAAGAGGAGTGATTGGTGGAATGATGAAGTAAAGGGTGTGATAAAAGAGAAAAAGTTAGCTTACGAGAGGGTTTTTATAAAGCAGAAGTGTTATAAGAAGAGCAGAGTATATGGAGAGTAAAAGAAAGGTGAAGAGAGGTGGTGAAAGAGTGCAAAAGGAGGAGCAGATGAAAGAGTGGGAGAGGCACTGTCAAGAAATTTTAATGAAAATAAGAAAAATTTTTGGAGTGAGTTAAACAAGTTAAGAAAGCCTAGGGAAAGTATGGATTTGTCAGTTAAAAACAGAGTAGGGGAGTTAGTAGATGGGGAGAGGGAGGTATTAGGTAGATGGCGAGAAATTTTTGAGGAGCTTTTAAATGTTGAGGAAGAAAGGGAGGCGGTAATTTCATGCACTGGCCAGGGAGGTATACCATCTTTTAGGAGTGAAGAAGAGCAGAATGTAAGTGTGGTGGAGGTACGTGAGGCATTACGTAGAATGAAAGGGGGTAAAGCAGCTGGAACTGATGGGATCATGACAGAAATGTTAAAAGCAGGGGGGGGATATAGTGTTGGAGTGGTTGGTACTTTTGTTTAATAAATGTATGAAAGAGGGGAAGGTACCTAGGGATTGGCGGAGAGCATGTATAGTCCCTTTATATAAAGGGAAGGGGGACAAAAAGAGATTGTAAAAATTATAGAGGAATAAGTTTACTGAGTATACCAGGAGAAGTATACGGTAGGGTTATAATTGAAAGAATTAGAGGTAAGACAGAATGTAGGATTTCAGATGAGCAAGGAGGCTCAGAGTGGGTTGGGGATGTGTAGATCAAGGTTTACTGAAGCATATATGTGACAGTATTTAGATAAAGGTAGGGGTTTTTATGCATTTATGATTAGAAAAGGCATATGAAGAGTGGATAGAGGAGCATGTGGCAGATGTTGTAAGTATATGGAATAGGTGGTAAGTTACTAATGCTGGTAGAGTTTATGAGATAGTGAGGCTCAGGTTATGGTGTGTAGAAGAAGGGACTATACTTCCCGGTAAAGTGTCTTAGACGGATATGTAATGTCACATGGTTTTTAATATATTAGATGGGTTTGTAAAGAAGTAAATGCTAGGGTTTCGGGAGAGGGGTGGGATTAATTATGGGAACAATCCAAATGGAATTGACACGTACTTTTTGCTGATGATACGGCTTATGGAGATTCTAAAGAAAAATTGCAAAGGTTAGTGGATGAGTTTGAGAATGTGTGTAAAGGAGAAAGTGAAGTGAACATAGAAAAGAGTAAGGTTGATGAGGGTATCAAATGATTTAGATAAAGAAAAATTGGATATCAAATTGGGAGGAGGAGTATGGAAGAAGTGAATGTTTTCAGATACTTGGAGTTGACGTGTCGGCGGATGGATTTATGAAGGATGAGGTTAATCATAGAATTGATGAGGGAAAAATGGTGAGTGGTGCATTGAGGTATATTGAGTCAAAAAACGTTATCTATGGAGACAAAGAAGGGAATGTATGAAAGTATATAGTACCAACACTCTTATATGGATGTGAAGCTTGGGTGGTAAATGCAGCAGCGAGGAGACGGTTGGAGGCAGTGGAGATGTCCTGTCCTAAGGGCAAGTGTGGTGTAAATATTATGCAGAAAATTCGGAGTGTGGAAATTAGGAGAAGGTGTGGATGTTAATAAAAGCATATCAGAGGGCAGAGAGGGGTTGTTGAGGGGTTTGGTCATTTAGAGAGAATGGATCAAAGTAGAATGACATGGAAAGCATATAATCTATAGGGGAAGGAAAGAGGGGTAGGGCGTCCTCGAAAGGGTTGAAGAGGGGGTAAGAGTTTTGTAGCAAGGGCTTGGACTTCCAGCAAGCGTGCATGAGCATGTTAGATAGGAGTGAATGGAGAACGAATGATACTTGGGACCTGACGATCTGTTGGAGTGTGAGCAGGGTAATATTAGTGAAGGGATTCAGGGAAACCGGTTACTTTTCATATAGTCGGACTTGAGTCCTGGAAATGGGAAGTACAATGCCTGCACTTTAAAGGAGGGGTTTGGGATATTGGCAGTTTGGAGGATAATGTTGTGTATCTTTATACGTATAGCTTCTAAACTGTTTGTATCTGAGCACCTCTGCAAAAACAGTGATAATTTGTGAGTGTGTGAAGTGTTTGAATGATGATGAAAGTATTTTCTTTTTGGGGATTTTTCTTGTTTTTTGGTCACCCTGCTTGGTGGGAGACGGCCGACTTGTTGAAATATATATATATAAATATATATATATATATATATATATATATATATATATATATATATATATATATATATATATTATATATATATTTTTTTTTTTTTTCAACAAACCGGCCGTTCCCACCAAGGCAGGGTGGCCCAAAAAGAAAAACAAACGTTTCTCTTTTTAAATTTAGTAATCTATACAGGAGAAGGGGTTACTAGCCCCTTGCTACCGGCATTTTAGTCGCCTCTTACAACACGCATGGCTTAACGGAAGAAGAATTATGTTCCACTTCCCCATGGAGATAAGAGGAAATAAACAAAGAACAAGAACTAGAAAGAAAATAGCAGAACACCCAGAGGGGTGTGTGTATATATATGCTTGTACATGTATGTGTAGTGTGACCTAAGTGTAAGTAGAAGTAGCAAGATGTACCTATAATCTTGCATATTTATGAGAGACAAAAGACACCAGCAATCCTACCATCATGTAAAACAATTACAGGCTTTCATTTCACACTCACTTGGCAGGACGGTAGTACCTCCCTGGGTGGTTGCTGTCTACCAACCTACTACCTAGGAGATATATATATATATATATATATATATATATATATATATATTTATATATATATATATATATATATATATATATATATATATATATATATGTATTGTGTTGCAATCAACACAATATGAGAAGCCTGCAATGTTGCAGGAAAGAGGAGGATGTCCAAGCAAATGCGGTCACAGAGAGAGCCCTTCCTAGAGTAAGTCAGAGAGGTAGAAGGCATGAGACAGGCAGGAAGTGCCTCCTAGAATACCAGTATCCATAGAAAGATTGAATATTATAACACTAGAAAAACGGCCAATCACAAGCACTGATATTGTAATAGTAACCTAGAGAAAGTGACATGGCAGTTATCAAAAATTCGGCAGACGATGCCATGGATAATACATAACTTTACATATAATAATAACTATATTGCCAGTGATATAGATATCAAAGGAAAACTGCCGAGTTAAACTCACTTCTGGTTATGATATAAATGGCTTTACATTCCAAATATAGATAGATCTGGTAATAGTCTTAGGAATTTTTGTACCTCCAGAAGATGGATCCATTTAAAGAAAAGCATCTGCAGTATCAAGGAATTTGGCCCTAGTTTATCTATCCCACAGGATTCTGAGGCAAACATTGGTTTAACAATTGGAAAAGGCAGGAAAAATAGGCACTAATTCCTCGGTGTGGTACTACTTTTAAGACCGTCCAACACATTAGTATAATATCCTGATTTTTTAGTTATGTACAATTGCCTCAACTAAAAACAAATCCAATTTCAACATCCCGCCACTGCTATTGTATAATGAACACTTATCAAACTTAATAATTATCGATTCTTTAATATTCTGTTCAAGCCTTGAAGAACAAGGGACAATGACTTGCTTCCAACCAATTTGCTGGGTTTTCGCAAGCTCTAATGTGGATGAAAATCTCAGTTGACTCATGTCGAGAAACAGTGTTGTGATTTCCTGTCACCTAGAGGTTTGCAAGTCTGTCCCACATAAGGTTATATATACCCTCTGTGTCTATGTATTGTTT